TGATCAGGATAAATCAGCACACCCCTCGTGTTTTATTTTCACAGCAAGAAAAATCAAAGGGAAGCAAGCCAAGCACTTACCTATTTTACCAGATAATTTACCTGTACTAGAGCTATAAAAGGAATGTCGCTTACATTTCGCTTCTCTCTTAAAACAAAATGATGGAGCAGAGGAAGGCACCTTCAGGCAAGAGCAGAGCTAGTGGAAAATCAAAGCAGAGCACAGGCTGCCGCTGTGTGCCAGGGAAGGATGCGGGCACCCACTGTGTGTGTGCAGGAGAGGGGAGGGAAGGGCCACGGTGGTGGGGGAGAGAGGCTACTGCGAGAGGGTAGTGCAAAGAAGCTGCAGATTTATGTTTCCAAAGCACTGCATTTACTTTCAGATGGGGAAGTCGAAATTGTGCCATACTTCTCTAGGTTAAAATTTCATTTGTTTTGCAGGATTTCTGCGGGAGAGCTGTTTCTCTCATTTATAATGAACTGAAAAAGGAGTGAGCGCGCCATCCAAAGCGTTTAATTACCAGTGCTCATCATGGTCTGTCAAGCACTTGGCTCAATCGTTATGATGATGGGTCAGAAATTATCTGTAAAATAATTAATGTCCTCATCTACGGCACTAAAAATGTGCTTTTTTTCACATGAAGACTAGCTTTGACAGTTCAATGGATTACATATGTTATGAAATATTTCAAATTCTCTTACTTTTTCCCCACTTTTTCTTCTGCGGGGTAGCCCCGTCTCGCCAGCACCCTCCATGGGCTCAGCAACTGGTGGTGCAGGGAGGGAAGTTCTGACGCAGGGTAGGATTTGTGAAGCAACTTTAAGCACTTAAGAACAGGTACTTGACCAAATGGTATGAATCATAAAAGAAAAATGGAAAGAAAAAAAAAAGAAGAAAATGGGGAGGGAGTTGGGAGTAGCTAAATCACCGAGTCCTTGGTAAAGGTGATGGTCAAGGTGCCACCAAGGTGTGGGACATCCATCGGTGGTGGCATCTCAGCACTGAGGATGTGGTTTGTCCATCAGGGCCAGTGGCCATGCCTTTGCTTAGCTGAGGAGCTCTTCAAATTCAGGCTGCATTCAGCGTGTGTCAGCCAGTAACTCACTGCTGCATCATTTTTGTCTGGGAGCTGCTTGCAGTCCTCTAACACGTCGCTGCAGAAGCTGAACAAGCCCTAACCAGTCTGTTGTGTGTTGTCGGAGAAAGCAGCATCCTCTGCCTTTAGTTCTTCCCTAGAAATTGGTGTCCAGCTATTTTCCCCGAATTTATTGAGAGAGAAGCTTGCTGCCTTTGGAAGAGGAAGGAGCACTGGGTGGTCTGGGCTGCTTGGTGCCGACCCAGGGTTGTCTGTATGGGCTCCATCCTATGCAGATGCCTAAATGCCAGGACTTGAAATGAGGACTTCTGTAGGAATGAGCTAAAAGCATTCTTCTTTCCATTTACAATTAGAAATACTGAACTTGCAGCTCCTCCATAAATAATTGTGTTTTGAATATCAACTCTTATATCTACATGGGAGGGAGGGAAGCTCCAGGATTACAGATATTTTCATTAGGAAATCCCACTAATGAGGTCTGGGTTTTGCTTGTGTCACAGAAAATGCCACATGAATTTTCTAGATAACAGTCCCCTAAAAACTAATGCTCTTATTTCCTTTCTCTTCTCCAGGCTCCGATTTCTTTATTTAGAAATATAAATACGTGCCCTGATTTTTTTTTTTAAAGTGTGTCAGTCAGTGAAGATGTTCAAGGTTACCATCAGATAATTTGTGTTTCTCAGGAAAAATAAATAAATAAATAAATAAATAAATAAATAAATATATTTTTTTTTTCCCTCAGGATGAAAAATAGTTTATTTTCTGGCCTCTACTTCTACAAGCAAAGTTCTCTGGCTCTTGTGCATGCTGTTGGGGTAGCAGCTGTTGGGGAGGCAAAAAGCACACATAATACCAGTGTTTGGTACTTTTCTGCAAGAGCCCATGGAAATTAGCAGTCCGTATTTGTTCATATTCATCCGTAATAACACTACGACACCTTAAACAGGCTCATATCTGGAAGGTGCCTGGATAAATGGGGACTAATTTGTGAGGTTCATCTGAAATTGGTATTGGCAAGTGTTACTTGATTTTCCTGTTGAATTGACGTACAAGATTGCATACTTCTGATTACACGCTATTTTTTGCTTGTTTGTTTAACTTTACCTAAACTAGGCCATCCAAATTAACAGCTCAAACCGCTGTGTTTAGATTCGGATAATGACATCGGCATGGGCATGAATATCTCTTACTTGCAAAAAAAAAGGGTAAGTGTATATAAGTAGTGCCATTTCAGTTCGTGGTGAAGCCGTTTGACTGCTTAAGCCATATCACACCGTGTAATTCTCTGCCTTACATAAATCTGGTCCTAAAGCTCAGCTGAGCAAGCTGGGTGCAGCAGAAGGCTGCCCGGATGATGTGCATGTAAATAGCCCGGCCCCACGGAGGTCGGTGAGAGTTTTCATTGCTTTGTTTTAGCTCAGGTGTTTGCTGCTGTTTGTGAGGGTTTTTTTTGTGTGTTCTTTTTGTTTGTTTGTTTTAATGCCTCTGAGGTTTTAAAATCGCTTCAGCTCACAAACAGAGGAGATTTACAGGAAGGGAAGCCTGCGCATTTCGCTGCCTAAAAACCGAGCTGGGGGATGTTCAGCCCTGGAAAACCAGGTCCTTTCCCTAGGTAAATACCTGCACGAGGCTTTGCACAGCTGATGTGCAGGAGCCTTCAACGAGACGTCCCTGTGCTCTTGATGGGGTCTCCAGCTTCTGTGGCTTCCCGTGGCTTTCCCTGTCCCTTCTGAAATGAATCAAGGCTCTCAGTCACCTCGGCCTTTAAATTCTCACTGCAGATCTCTCCATCTGCCTCTGCAGTACAGGGAAGTTGGCAATGCGGTAGCATGCGCATAAGATGGATTTAAAAGCATTTTCAGTTAAATGGATTTGATTTTATCATTCTAGATGACCTCCGCTTCCCAACACGTTGCTCTTATCAGGCGCGTTGTAGCTGTTAAGAGAAATGGGATTCAACCATTCCGATAAAGTTAAGGGGAGAAGTCTGGATTTTGAGTGTTTTGTTCTCTGCTGTAAGCATTAGCACATTTTTCCTTTGTTCCTTTATTTAAAGGGAAATATTTGCTCGATACCATCCTGGTGAAAGCGCAGTGCAAACTTAGTGTTAAAATTCAGCCCCCGAAGTGGATCAATCTCACGATTTCTCTTTCAACTTTCGGCTTGCCAGGCTCTATTATTCTCAATACACTTTGACAGTTCCAGGCTAAAAAGACATCAATTACCTTTGGAAATTATCCTCGCCGCTCGAGGACAAGCTGTATTTCTGCTGACGCTGCAGGGCCGTGGTGCAGAGCGGGTGGCCTGGAGGGGTCCCCAGGGACGGCACCTCGCTGCCCGCCCCTGGCACTGTGCAGGAGCCGGAGCTTTCTCCTCCTTGGCCACAGCAAGACGTTGGTTCAGCTCTCGGGACAAACCTGCTGTTTCATTACAGTCCATAAATTTGGTGTTTTCCTATCGCATTTGTTCTGTTAAAAACAAAAATAGTGAATCTGCACCAAAGGCTGTCGCTAATGTGTTGGGATAGGCACTCTGGTTTGTGCTGTGCAGATAAATCACTCCTTGCACAGGTGTTTGTTGTGGCTTCAAAACTTCCTCATTAGAATGGGGTCAAGACCGTGGCGAGTGTTTTTGTTTGGTTTTCAGTTTTTTGTCTCTTTTATATTTTTTTTTCCAAAAAAAAAAAAAAAAGTAAAATAAAAATAGAGGAGAGCAGGATAGGAGCGAATGGGCTTCTCCAGGGCATGGCTCAGATTTAGATGTTGAGAATTGACTTCTTGGTGACCTCCCTCTAGTGCATCTCTCGTGCCCTGAATTGCTTTATTAATAAAAGAAACCTGTGTAGCCCTGTGCTTCCCTGGCACAAAAATCCTGATTCAGTGTCTAGCAGGTAACTAGTTGAAGAGCTCTGGCTCCAACCAAAGCCAGTAAGAGCTCACGTTCCCCATTTCCCTTGTTCAATGACTGCTGTTGACCTGTAGCTAACACCTGCCATTACATCCTCCTCTCTCCTTCCCAAATCTAGTCAGGCTTTTGTGCATATTTCCACTGACAGCATGTGAATTGATACTAGAAATGTTGCCGTTTAATTTATAACTAGGAAATAGAGGATGTGACTGCAAAGCAAATACTGTGACCCAACCGCAGAACTGTCCTAGATTCTCACATCTTGTTTTGAAATTTTATGACAGCCTTATTGCCCAAGGGTACAACGTAATCACTGTGCAGTTCACTGATATGCTTTCTTTCAGCATCTGTACTAAATGCGTTTTTATCCCTGCTGCATGTAAGAGTACTTCTTAATTCTTCAGATGCAAATAAAAAAAAAAATCCATCTCAAAGCACACAGTAGGTAAAATTGCGTTTGTTTTAATTTTGACTGTAAACATGCTTTGAAAATTAACAATCTTTTCACCACTGCACTAATTCTTCATCAATGACACTATTGCTTCCTGGACTCCCGTAAGTGTTAATTAACCCTGGATAACACAGACCATACCCCGTTGCAAAGTTTGGCAGGAAGGGCAATTTCTGAATACCTGAACCACGATATCATTGATGGCTGCAGGCACAAAAGTTGCTGGTGGCACCAGACGAGGTGTGGGGGCTGCAGGGGTCTTTCCAGCATCAGGTTGGATGATACTGGGAAGGATGGAGGATACTGGGGGCTGCACACCCTCCCCTTCCCGCTCAACCTCAAGGCATGGAGAGATTTCTGCCAAGGAATCAGGAGTCAGATGGGGAAGGAACAGGCCACCAGTCACTGAAGAAATTGGGTGATTTGGGGTTGGCTGGGTCTGAGCAACTGCAGGTCAGGTGCCTAATGAGCTGTGATTGTTATGCTTGACACCTTGAGGAAGACACGGAGCAGGGCACCTGTTTTGGCAGCTTTAAAACCCTTCCCACCAAGGGGTTGCAGTACTGGGCTGATGTTGTGGGTGTGCTGCAGCTACGTGCTCACATTGTGGTCCGTGTGCCAGTGAAATAAGTGGGTGCTGCTCTGGTTTTCCATTAAAGTCATATGTGCAAGGTCTGAAAATCAGTGTTTTGGTAAGCAGTGACTGAGGGGCAGAGCACTAAATATATATATAGCTTTCGTGCTGAAAGGTGCTTTCAGTGGTGCTTTTTTGATTGTATTAAGCAGCTTAGTAAAATAGCCCGGTAAGCAGCTGAGTTAAAGCACGATGTTATCGCTCTGACTCGTGTCTCCCCCCAGAACTGTGCCTCCACTTCCAGGAGCACTTTCTGTACTCACTCCCAGCGAAATCAAACTGCCTTTCACCTCAATTTCGATGAAGCTGTGACTGTGGTTCTTCTAAAGCCCTGCTGCTGGGTGCGGAGCTGATGAGGAGTGAAGTGGCCTTTGCTGAGGATTGGGAGCAGCGCTTTGCAGGAAACAAAAAGTCCCGTGGCACTCGCTGCTGAGATGCTATCTGACGTCTCTGCCAGCTCAGGAAGGTAGGACGTGACGTGGTGAGATGGTGTCCCAGGAAGACCTTTTCCTCCTTGTCCCAGCCAGACCTGCGCAGAGCTGCTTCAACTCTGCCTGCTCTTGTTTCAGTACTTTCCTGGTACTTGGGTTACATACAGAAAACACCTGACAGTGGCGTGTGGTTAATTCTGGGGAAAACAAACAAACAAACATTTGATTTCTCATCACTGATATCATTTTCTGACTTTCACATTCCAGGTAAGGGGATGTACCCCTTCATTTTCCTTCCTTTCTGCACTTTCTTCTCAGTTTGTTCTTTTCAGGGTCTGCACTGATACATCCTTTCTCAGAAATTTAGACCTATTTTAATTTTAACCTATATATTCACTATGGCTTCATTGCTTAGGAGTATTAAGTCATTTTGATTGTTCAAAGTGGCTCTTAAATTATATACAAAAATTGTAAACTGTTTTTTTTTTGTTTGCTTGTTTTTCTGTGGCCCCCTGCTACAGGGCACCATCAAATCTGACAGTGATCTTTGCTCCTGGAACACATGGAGCATGCTTAAAGGAAGATGTAAGGAGTTTCAAAAAAGCAACAAACAAAATTTATGAGCTACACAAAAATATATGTTTTTTTTCAAGGTTACTTATTTTTTTATTTTGAAAGATTTGAAGAGCGATGAGTTACATATCACATGTGTATAGTAGTCCAGCTCTGACTACGAGACCACCCAGTTTAGCTGAATTAATGGTTTACAAACCCTCATTCTATGTAGCAGAATTTGAAAATATTTCCCCAGAAATATTTATACATGTGCCTGCACCTTGCTATTGTGTGTGCATGCTTTGGTATTAATGGCAACACCATGCGGATATCATATCCTAGAGTCCCGTTCCCAGGTGTGCACTACAGCCAGGCGTTATGGAAGCTTTTCACTTTGGAGAGATCTTGCCCAGATAGTCACCTTCAGCTTTATTTCAGCCCTGCTTTTCTTCATCCTGCACTCCATGGGGTCGTTTCATGCTCTGCCCGCACTGCACCTCGCATCCATCTTCTCCACGTGGGCTCGCTCGGGAGACCCGCTGCCAGTGCCAGCACTCGGCCAGGTCCAGAGGCAGAATTTCTCCCAGACCTTTACACAAGCAGTGTCACCTGCCTTAAGCAGCGAAGCAGCCCCGGTCGATCGTCACATTTCAGGCTGCATCCCCACAGCATGCTCCTGACAGCACCCGGCCGTGAGGAACAACCACGTCTGTCTGGAAACCAAGCTGAAGGGCTGCACGCACGCTGGCACTAGCAGTGATTTTAACCCATGGAAAGCCAAGGCTTTTCATACTGGTTTTGCTCACCCAGGCTATTACTATACACGAACTACTTTTATGCTGGTTTTGGTACTGTTTGCATTGTTTTTAATGTCACAGCCCTGGAGGCTGGTGGTCCTGCCACGCAATTTTGGACACAGACTCCGTGCTGGTGCATTTGGCAGGCAACAGATTGCAGAGGGAAAGCAGAAGGATGAAAAAATGAAGAAATCAGAGGGTTCCAATCCTTTTCTGGTGCTCTTAGGCTTGGATGTTATCCTAGCAAAAGGAGGGAGCTGTGGGAAAGCCTTTCTCCATTGGGAAGGAGAGCAGTACAGCACAGGCGCGCTGCTAGGCCTCGAGAGGCAAGGAGCTGAGGTGGTTCACCAGGTAAATATCAGCAGAGGAAGCTTTGCTGGATGCAGAAACCCACTTACAAAAATTACCACACAGTTTTGACCGACTGGGCCTCTTCCTTGTTGTGCGACATCGGCGTGAAGAAGATTTATCTCTTCAGTGAGATTTTGTTCCTTTTCTGTCTTCATTTACGATGTCCTGTAGCATTTTGCTCATTGCTACTGAGAAATGTTTCCCAGGCAGGGAGAGCCTGTCAGGCAGACGTGTGCTACCCTGGGTTCGTTGAGACCTTTGCTGGTAGCTGACAGGGAAAGGAACATTATTCGCAGCTCTCTGATGTTAAAAATGTCCCTCTTCAAACCGCAAAATAATTATCATTATGATCAACGTTCACGCAGTGCTTCGTTTCCGAGGACATCCATTTTTTGACAGCTCCTTTCTCAACAGTGTGTGCTGACAAGCACGGTTTAAGCTCTCCGCCGCAGTGTCCTCCAAAAATATCGGGTACATCTCGGGACACTTCTCTTACAGCTTATTTCTACTAACGCGAGGCAGGACGTGGTCCTCGCCCCTGGCTGGCGTTCCTGGGCTGCATTCAGACAGTGAATAACCTAAGTGCCAGGGACAGGACCTCATCGAACCCCGTCCCTGCAGCATCGTGGGGAGCTCTTCACAGCCTGACATCGATGAACGATCGCTCCCCCCCCCGTGGCCTTGTGGCCGCAGGCATTGCCTCAGCCCCTTTCATCGCTCTGGCAGTGCCCCAGGCAGGTTTAGGGCACTTGCTCCTTAACTCACCTTTGTGCTAATACTCCCTGTCACTAACTGCGATGCAAAGCAGACATAAACTATTCCTGGTAATACCTCTGACACAAAAACACTCGCTTAATCCATCACTTCCATCCTCACCGTACTCTGTCTCAGAATTTGATGCTGAAAGCACTGAGCTGCTGCATCGCACACACTGCCTTGTTGTATCTTCCCTCCCTCCTGGCCCGCCGTGTGAATTGACTTGGGAGATGTCTGCAGGCAGCAACAAAGACTTTTCCACACCTCGAGACAAATTCCTGTTCCTACAAAGAGCTGGCTCATGCGGAGCCGGCTGCCAGGGGGCTCGTTTTCGGGGTGGCAGTCTCACAGATAGCCAAAGTCCTTGCAAACATCGTGAAAGCAGGCAAAGTAATTAAAAGTCGTGAAGATGTTATGGCTGTCATTGTGGGTATTGTGCTATTTGACTGCTGCCTTCAGTCACTGCGCAGAATGCGTAAATTTTCCAGCACATCCTAAAATAATTAATGTTATTGTTACTGAAATATTTTGTAATCAATCATTAAGGACATTTTATTGCAGCTTTTTTTTTTTTTTTTTTTAATTTATTCTTGCATTCTCTTTGTTGTAATTACTGTACCCAACTCATTCCCAGGCTCAGGGTGTTGATAATGACACAAAGAAATGCAAACCAAGCTGGTGCAGGTGTTTAAAAGGACATCACTTCCACAAGCTTTACCCAAGTTTAAGGCAAATTACCCTTTGCTTCTCAGCTGAGAATGTTCTTCTAGGATAATATTTTTCCAATTGATTTTTTTTTTCTAGTAACGATTTCTCATTTATTTGATAGGCAGTGAAAATCTAGATTTCTGTGGCTGTTACTGAAATCTCAGAATTTTTCATTGTTGTTGAACCTGGATCCAACTAAAAGTCACTTTGAAAGTCATAGCTACCAAACAGCAATCCCGTACCAGGAACTGCCTACTTCCAGAATAAAACTGGAGGAAGACTGAAAAACTCTACTGTCCAAGGTAATCACTTTAACATGTATTTTTCTGGATGAAATCATGGGCAGCAAACATGGCCATCCCCATTTCTGTGGTCAAATGAGGCAATGAATTATAGACAGATAGGAATGGTCAATACCTGCTTGCTGCAGATGAATAAAGTCCTTCATGGCACCTATTCCAGGAATAAGTTAAAACTGGTCTTCTCAGGACATCTTACTAACAAAGCTAATGAGCTGGAGTATTTGCAAGAGTCTATTTTCCAGTTTTCTGCCACTGTATGACAGGGTTGTATAAACTATAGTTTAACTGGCTCAAAGAAATTTCAAGTAAATAGATGCAAATGTTACAAATGAAATCAAAACTTTGTAATGATCCTAATTATGAAAATCAATGACGGCTCTGCTAAGAGAGATGTACCATTACAAAATAAATGATGGAGTGCAAGATAAATCACAGTCTTAGAAGCAAGTACAAAAAACTTTATAACATAGCAAACCTGCCTGAAATGATAATCTCAAATAAGTTAGGCACTTAATTTATAATTGCATGCTGTTTTCCTTCACTTCCAAAAAGTCCTGAAGTTCTTAGCTATTTCACAAAATAATTGGCTTCATAATGTGTCTGTAACATGCACAGTCCATATGTTTGTTGCTATACAGTCTCTCTGGCTATTACATTATTACGGACTTATTTATTTATGGACACGAATTTATGGACACGAATTGGAATTGTTAAAACATTCCTCACAAACTTAAATACATTTTTGGGGGATATACAGAGGATTGTGCTGTACAGAATAAATATGGATTCTTATTTTTCAGCTTAAGATGGAATAAATTAATTGCACAAAGTTCTAGAGTTACTTGAGATAGTTTTTGCAACGGGCAAAGGTAGACAAGGGAACACATGGAATTTTCCATCAGCATCCCCTGGGGCAGTACCATCACCATTTTTTCTTTCAGGGACCTTTCAGTCCTAGCATTTTTCTGCTCTGCACACAATAGAACAGGAGAGGTGGACAACTGATATGACATAAAAGAAACCTGTGACATTTTCAGGTTTATAACCAGCATCCAAAATTGTCTCCAGAAACTCCTGATGTCCTTGACCTGCTAGCCCCAGCTGCCTGTAAATTGGCATGGATTGCTTCTTTACTATTGCTTTGCATTTCCCTGCCTCACTCTCTCTTAAAAACTTGTAGAGAAGTTTATTTGCAGAAGGGAAAAGTGGTTATAATAAAAATAGGACTTGTCCAAGAATATGTGGTTGTCTTTTATCTGTTTACTTGACATTCTGGTCATTGGCTGGCTAAGCATCATCACAAAATGTTTCATATTGAAAATAATTTCTCTCCCACTTCACAGAGTGGTTTTTTACTCTTTCACTTGGGATATGATACTCTTGGGGAAACAGTCATTATCTCATCTGCATTGGAAAAGTATTTTCATGGAGCTTTCTGCTGACTTTTTATCTTCTGGTGGAATGGAGCTCTTGCAGAGTTTTTCAGCCTTTACCTTCAGGAGAATAAAAGGTAAAAAAGTGAATTGCTGGGCCAGCTGTGACTGTACGTACATCTGGAGCGATGCTTATGTAGGATGAGCAGAAGCATTGCAGTATCCCTTTGTTGTTGCTTTGGCTGCAGCCAGTTATGCTACATGGGATTTTTTCCCTTCCCAGTCCCATCCTATTTTCCTTTCCTGTTCCATCCCATTTTCCTTCCCTTCCCATTTTCCCTTCCCTTCCCAGTTTCTAATCAGGGCACATGAAATTTTGTGTTCTTCCCAGTATCACTGGATGTAAATTTAAAAAAAAAAAAACATAGCATCATCAGTATGATTGTTTATAACATTTTCTCCTGAAACATGCTTAGGTAAACCCTTAGTCAAATCAAGTGAGAGCTGAAGTAGTAAAAATGTAGTTATACAGTAAAAACCACTCATACTTAAAATACGGGTAGTTCTCCTATGAATCAATTGCACACAGTTTATTAGAAGTCTAATTATGTTATGCAGTTTTGAAGGACCTGACTGTGTTTTTAGTAGCATGTTAACTGAGGTGAACAGTCCCTGCAAAGGTCTGATAGTACCCTAGCAAAAACCTTACAGGTCTGACTTACAGCAGTGCTGCATTTTCCTAAGACTCCAGCTGATTTTCTGATGTACACCAATTTATGCATGTATATGTTAGCAATAAAAATCAACATTAGGAATGGGAGACTCAATTATATTTTGCTGTTATATTTAATACGAAAGATGTAATATAAATTAGTAAAAATGTGTATAAACACAATTTAATAAATATAAAAAGAAAAATACTTGCATCCTCCAGCATGTGGAGTTTATTACCTTGTGCAATGTAATTAAGTTTATATGAGTATGAGCATAATAAGCTGCACAAAGTCGCAGAGCAATGAGTGATAACAGTGTATGTAATTCTGGTGATATACGGTGCCATAGCTGAAATACTGAACATAACCTTGCAATTTGTGTAGCGGAGGCAATAGTGGAAGGAGGTTTTTGTTTTGTGTTTGTTGTTTAATTTAAGTGGAGGACAGGAACACAAGCCAAAGACTAAGAGAAAAGAAAGGAAGACAAACAAACAAACAAATAAAAACCAATATGCATGCATACCCAGGCTGTTATTGCAATCTGCTATTTTTCTTCCATTTTCCATGCATGTTAACTACACGGTCCCAATAATTCCCTTACCATCCCGATTTGCACCTGTTTGACCCTTGTGCAATAGCAAAACGGTGTGAGAGAGCCCTCCTGGCTGCTGCCATGCAGCTCTGGGCTGTGCACCTCTCCTTTTCTGCAGGTTTTTAAGCTGCCTACAGGGCACAGAGTATTCGAGGTAAGAAGAGAACAGACGCTTTGCTGACCTTAGCTGGTTGAGCAGTCTCAGAGATTGAAGGCAGACCCTAGCAGGGGCCTGGTAACGCCGGTTTTAAATCCTGTAGGGATTTCAGCCTCCTTTTTGGCTGCAAGAATTGGCTCTTTCAGCAGAGAGGACTGTGTGCAATTGATGCCCTGGGAGCCTCGAGCACAAAATGGAATTTTAGCGTCTATTGCAAAGCTTGACATTTCTCTGTATTTCCTGTGTCGCTTCCCAGCCTGTGACCTAAATTATGAGCAGAAGATATTAAGCTTGGATTTTAACTTAAGAACTGACTACACCCACAGGACAAATTAAAACACAGTGCTGTTTGTGGTCTGTGAGGTTTTTTTTTTTGTTTGTTTGTATGTTTTTACTGAAGGTAAGCAAGCACTGAAATTATATTGGATTCTTAATTTAAACTCCTGCCAGAAATATGAAGTTCTGAGCAATAGACTGTTCTTCTTTCTTGCTTTTTCTCCTCTACAACCTGCCTCATTCCCCCACCATGTTTAGACACAGCAGAGTCCTGTTTTGGCTTGTTGGCTTGTGGTGGTGCAATAAAATGCCATCTAACCTTATTTCCTTACTCCTCCTTGCTTGCTACTAAATCTATTTCCCCCCACACCAGCATTTTCTAGCTCTTACTGTTTCTGCAATAGTTTGAATTTCTTCACCATGAAGTCTGTGGGATTTTGTGTGTGATGGCATGAATATCAATTTGTGGTACTGGAGAAAACCTTGGGAAAGGGGAGTACCCAACCATTTATTGATCTGTGCCTGGTTTGTGGCTACCTGGCACTGACTTCTGTAAGTACTGAATGCATTCTCACTTAAAATCATTTTTTAAAAATATCCAAATTGGCAAGCAATGAATCTAAATAAATATTCTCAGACCCTGAATAATCCCATCTCCTTTCATTATAGCTTCCTAGTCTCACCTGAGCCAGCTCTTTCAGCTGTTAATTATATATCAGCAGATTTAAACTTTGTGCCCTTTGCTGCAGAATGGGATGCTTTAGCTGCAATCCACCTTTCCTCTTTCAGGGAAGATTTGGTTGGTGTTGGACAATGAAGCACTTTTATACTGGGTCTAGCGCTGTGAAATTTCAGCTAATACCACCAAAGAGTTAATTGATTTTTGCAGGTCGCGATCTAAGTTTATCCCATGTCAGGATTTTCTCCTGACACCGCTCAGACAAGGTGATAATGTTGTATCTGAAGGCAAACATATAGAATACATCTGAGTGATCCCATGGAGTGGTTTCCCAGGCAACTGTAACATCTTCATCCACAGCAGGGTGCGGGCTTTGCCTGGCCAGCTTCCCTCCGTGCCGGGCGGCCTGCAATCAGCAGACGTGCCCAGCCAGGCCTTGTGCAGGTTAATAGCACAAATACGGCTTGGACTCATTTGGGAAATGTCCTCTTGAAGGTTTTAGGGCACTTGTGGGCCTGACATCATCCAGCACGGCTGCGGGGGTTGGCAAGATGCTTGCAAACTGCAGCCTCACACCAAATGGGCAACAGTTTCTGTGAGCGCTGTGGGATGCAGCGCTCGGCCCAGGGTGGGCCTGGAGCTGCCCCTTCCCGCTGAGGAAAGTTAGCAATGCAAATCCCACATGGGTAAAGTTAGAAAGGTGAAAATCACA